CTCACGAGCGCGGCAACCGCATCCCACTCGTCGGTGCGCGGTGCATCACCGATCAGGCATCGGCTCGACCGCGCCGCGGCAGCCCCAGCCTCCTTATCAGCAAAAATATTTCCAGCAGCGACATACTGGAGGCCCTCATTCACAATCCGACCGGGGTCCTCGTCAAGGTGACTGGGGACCCAAGCAACCTCAATATCACTACTGCTGCTGCCACGCTTGATCAACGCCTGCCTCAAGCGGACCCACAGGTCTCCATTGCTACCTATACACGAAGTGTGACGGCCAGAATTCCAACCATCCAACAGAGACTTGCAGTCAGTGTGAAAACGGATTTTCCCTGTCGAGCTCTCGAGGCACAGGACAAGGGCGAGCAGCTCAGCCCTGGGTACAGTCTGCCTGCGCCCGCGGAGCCCGCCAGTGACGATGGCGGCGGGCGACCACGACTCACCCTCCTGCCGAAGTGCCACAGCAGCAGCTCCGACGCGTCGCCGCCGAGGGTCGTCGGTGCGCGGGCCGCCCGAGCCGTCGCCGAACTCGTCGAGCACCTCATTGCCCTCGACCCTGCAACTGTCGAGCGGCTCGCCCTGGTGCTCGACCCAGTCCGCCTGGCACCCATCAAAGATGGGCGTGGCGAGGTCGACTGGGCACACGCCTCTCAACCACAAGGCAGGGTCTTGCCCCCAGCCCGCCCTCGCACGCACAATCAAACATTCACTGGCGTCAAAATCTGCATGGCCCGCGTTGCACGGGCAGCTCCAAAGCGTTCCTTCTCATTGCCGCAGCGCTGGCAGATCACCTCGGAGTCGTAACCTGCCTGCTGCTGGCGCCCCCTCGTCCACTGTCCGCCGCTGACGATGACGACCGTCTGCGCCCACAGGTCGGGGGCCCCCGCCTCCATGAAGCGCCTGAGCTCCCGCTGCACATGCATCATGTCGGCGCCGTTGAAGAGGCTGTCGCCCGCGGGGTGCAGCGCGGCCCTCTGCCACATGCGTCTCGCGAAGTCTGCCATGAGGTCGTCCAAGAACTCGGACGCGTCGGCGACGGCGTAGCACTCCGCGTCGGGGCCAGGGATGATCCACTCGTCGACGGCGTTGGGCCCTGTCGGGCGGACCCAGCGCTGGGGCGACTCGGGCCGCCACTCGATGTCCAGGGGCACCGCGATCACGGCAGCAGCAGGCCCGCGGACACGCCGCCAGCGATGCGGCCCTGCCTGCGACAGGGCCTGGGGCAGGCGGGGCCAGGCGCGGCGCGCCCGACCGTGAACCTCGGGCCGCGTGCGCCAGAGCTCGAGCCACTGGCTGACATCCTGCCTCCGAAGCTCCAGCCCTGGGTCGCGCTGCCCATACAAGGCCGCCAAGGTCGACGTGAGGCACCTGCCGGGCCCCTTGCCAACAGCTGAGGCGGCGGCGCCACGGCGCATCGCCAGGATCGACGAGGGCGCGAGGCCAGCGACCTGGTGGCCGTGCGTCGCCTGAGGCTGCGCCCCCGTCGTCCACAGCATCATCGTGATCTTGGCCGTGCGAACCTCCCTGCGCGTGCGGAGGATCCTGCCTATCCGAGACCTGGCAGCCTGGAAGCGCTTCTGGGCGCGCCTCCTGCACCGACGGCGCCCGCAAGCCGTGTCCACGCCGAGGTCCATCGCATGCGCCGCGTAGGAGGCGGGCGCGCCAAGCCGCGCCAGGCCGCCAGCGATGGACCGCCCAAGCGGGGGGCGCGAGCACGCCCGCACAGTCTTGGTGGAGACCTCGAAGCCAGCCTCGTCGAGCCCCTGCTTGAGCGCCACCGCGGCTTTGTACAGGTCGGCCTCGACCGCCTGCCTGGTGCCGACAGAGCGGATCACCGCGTCGTCAATGAACGCCCTCATCTGAGCACGCTCACTCGCAGGATGCGCGCGAGCAATCAATGGCCCCAGCATGACCTTGGCCAGCTTCCCTCCATGGACCGAGCCCGCCACCACTGACCGCTCGGGCTGCAGGCGGCGCCCGAGCCAGGCGCGCTGGCGCAGGTGGCGGGGCCCTGCATGCAACTGCACCTCCATCGCGGCCGCGATCGCGGGGAACCCCTGCTGGGTGGCCGCCGCGAGCAGTCGCACGAAGGAGACCGAGTCGTAGAACTTCTTGATGTCGAGGAGGAGGGTCGCGGTGAACCACCCGTTCTCCACGTCGCACTCGCCCGTGCAAGCGCAGCACGCCGCGGCCCGCAGGGCGGGAGATCCGCGCGCCGCGGTATCCCACCACTCGGCCTGGGCATCGCTCCACTCGTCAGTGGAAGCAGCTCGAACCTTCGCCCAGACCTTGCAGGTGGTCGGCAGCATGCCGATGATGCGACCCCCTCCATCACGCTTGGGAATGGCGGCTCCAATGACCGCCGACAGTTGCCGCGGCCAACCCCCCGCGGCCTCGCGCACATTGAGGAGCGAAGCGAGACCGTCGAATCCGCCCTCGGGCATCCGCTGCAGGTCAGCGGGGCCCGCGTTGTCGATGCCGCGCGCCCTGCCCGAGCTCGTGCGGCGCATGGCCGCGCGCACCTGGTCGGGAGTAATCGGATCCAGGCCCTCATCAGCAGCGCGTCGGAGAGTGGCGTTGCGGGCCTCGACAAGGTCGGCCTCATTGTACGTCGGGTCCTTCCACACCCTCTTCTCAAGCAGGGTCTTCTGCTCCAGGATGGCGTCGGGCTGGGCGATGCACCTCGCCGCAATGTCCCCCTCGGCGTCCCTGACGAGGCCGTAGGTCTTCAGCTGCTCGGCCGCGGGCTCCTTGACGCGCCGGTGGGCGATGCCTGGCCTCCGCTGCCACGCCTCGTCGGCCCAGCGGGCGGGCCCGAGGCGGGCGCGGTGGAGGCTGCGGCCGAGGAGGCGGTGGCACCACTGCTCAGTGCAAGCGAGCAGTCTACGCACGTCGTCCAAGCATGGCAGTTCTTGCTGCAAAAAGATATCAGCACGAAGGCGCCAATCTTGCGCATCCTCCTGCAGGGACTGGCCGACATATACCTGATGATCATTCTTCCCCACACGTGCTCGCAGCAAGGGGGCGGCCCGCGCAACGCACTCGCGCTGCTGCGGGCGGTCGGGCCCGTTGGTCAGCAGCGCGACGAGGCGGACCAACAAGGCGCTCAGCGTCTGCCAACCCTCCAACACTGGGTCGAGCAGGTGGGCGCGGCCAGGGGTGCTCTTCATCCTGCGCTCCTCGATCCGATAACCTTGACCACGCCCTCGCATGGTGTCCGCACTGCGACCAACCACCTGCTCCGTCTGGATCAGCGCCTCCTCGAGGGTGCCGACCCACTGCGCGTGCATCTGCGAGACGCGGTCGGTGGAGAGCGGCACTCGCGCGAACAGGAAGTGGTCCTGGTCGGCGGGCCGCTGGCTGCTAGGCTTCCGAGCCTGCGCGACAGCAGCGCACCTGGACCATGTTTCGGCACTCACTAGGTACTCAATGTCAGCTGGCGCGCCGCCATCTTGATCGGGGGGCTCTGTGTCGGGCGGCGCAGCTGACTTCGCAGCCGTCGCTGGGCTGCTGCTAGGGACTAGATCGTGCACAGGAGGCTCCGCAAAGCCTTCGTCGTACTCGCCAGCCAGCGCGTCCATGGGGTCCTCGTCGTAGTCCATGGACGTGCGCCGCGCTGCCGCAGGGGCGGTTGCCGCGGAGATCGCGTCTCCGCAGCGCTGGGCAGCACTCCAGGTGCCGCCTCCAGCGCTGCGCCACCTCCCTGTCCACGGGGCCGTGTAGTCAGGCAGTGGGCACAGGGCATGCCCGAGGTCGTCCGCAGCAATCGGCCCGCCAATCCCGTCAGCCTCCCCGAGGAGCGCGTCGTGGGACCCCCGCAGCTCCTCTGGCAGCGCCTCGCGGCGCTTGCAAGCCTGCGCTGCGAGCTTGCGCTGCCTGCGGCTGTTGGGGTCCGCGGCGACCTTCGGCGGGCTTCGGAGAGGCAGGGCCGAGGGCAGCACCGGCGCCTGGTGGTACCAGCGGCGGTTGCTGGCCGTGAGCTCGATAATGAGCCCGCAGTGCGCGCGCCACGGCACGTTGGGCTCAGCCACCACCTTGACGTGCTCGGCGTACCCTGACGAGGCAAGCGCGTAGTCGTACAGCTTGCCCTTGCCCTTGTCGCAGGTCGTGCGAACGTTCTCTGGCGCCGCGACGGCGGCCCCGATCCGCTGCAACCACTCCGTCTCGCCCCAGTCGGTCGGCTCGACGTCCCAGTCGCCGACGATCACGGAGGGGCCCTTCATGAGCGAGAGGAAGGCCGCCAAGGAGGCGAGCCGCTGCTGGTTGGCTCCGCGAAACCGAAGCCCACGCACCAAGTATGCTACCACGATGATCACGTTGCCTTGCAGCAGGTGCCAGACCATCGGAACGGAACCGAAGAAGGGGGAGGGCCGACCAGCCGCAATGCACGCGCGTCGGTGCCCCTCAAACGTGGTGGCGGCCAACGTCTTCTTGATCGCAATCATCTCGCCTCCTGCGACGCCGTCCAGGGATCGACCTGAAGGGATGCCAGGCGTGACTGCGACCTTCCAGCTGCCTGTCTGAATGTCGATATGCTGCCGCTCGGCGGCAGCAGGGGACGCATGGGTCTCGCAGAAATCGACGACGTCAAAGCCAGCTCCGGACCCCATCCAGCAACCTGCGGGAGGTCGGGCCGTATTGGGTGACACTCCCGAAGAACATCCTTGCCTTAGTATGGGCTGGCCCCGTTCCTGACGTCGCGCCGTAGCCGCTCTGCAGCCGCCGCCGTGCCACGAAGCCGCACCGCGGTGTCAGCACCTCCTCCCGCAGGTGCAGCTCCCATGGCGACGTCCGCTGGCGAGCCCCCAGGCTCCCCTCCGTCGGCGGCAGCGGGGGGCTGGCCTCCAGGAGGGACGGCAGGAGGAGCGCCAGGAGCAGCCACAGCAGCCTGCACGGGAGGCGCGGCGGGCAGCGCGGCGGTGAACTTCTGCAGCGCCTCCTGTGTCTGCTGCGCCACTGCGAGCCCCGAGTCAGGCGGCTTGTTGCCCGCCGCCAGCTGTGCGAGCTGGTCCTCGTAGGTGGCCACGAGCTGGTTGACGAGGCCCGCCAACTTCCCGAGGTCGTCCCACGTCGACGCTGGGACGGGAGGTCCCCCTGGGTCCCCGCCAGCGGTGTCCGAGGCTGCGTCCTGCTTCGCCTGCCCCAGGTCGCCCCGACCCGCGACAAGCTGCGCCTCGGCCTCGTCGAGCTCGTCCGCCGCTTCTTGAGCAGCTTGCTGAGCCCGTTCGAGGCGCTGGGTCGCCTGGAGGACCACGCGCTGGGCCTTGACCACTGGCTGCGGCAGGTCCTTGCCGCGGGGGCCCTCCATGCCAGCGGCGCGCAGGCGGCGTCGATACACGATCCTGTCGTGCAGGGACTGGCCGAGGACGGACGCGAGCTTCTCGTCCTCCATGGCGACCCAGCACTCCAGCTGCTGGTCGTCGAGCACGGCGGCAGCCGGTGGGGCGGCAGGCGGGCGGCCTCCGCCTGGAGCGCGCGGCTGCGGCGGGCCATCGCGCCAGGGCGGCGCAGCGGCCTTGCCAGGGCCCCAGGCCCATGCCCCGCGCGGGGCGCCGCGGCGCCCAGGCCCTGGGCCTCCGCTGAAACCTGGGTGCCCAGGATTGGGGGCGCTGCAGTGGTAGCACTTCGCCTTGGCCCCGCGGTTCCAAGCACAGCAGGAGCGGCACCCTCAGCCCGCCATAATGCCGTCGTGCCGGTGATGGGCCGCCTGAGAGCCCCTGCAGTACTGGCTAAAGACAGCCGGGCTCCAAGAGCCCTAGCTCTGACGCGGAATAGCGGCGTCCGTGTCTGCCAATGCGGGCTCGGCCCGCCAAGCATCAGCCTTGAGCTAAAATGGCTACGGAGGAGGAGGAGGAGGAGGAGGAGGAGGAGGAGGTGAAGAGAGGGAGGATGAGAAGGAGGAGGAGGGAGGGAGGGAGGGACGGAGGGAGGAAAGAGGAGAGAGAGAGGGAGGGAGGAGGAAGGATATGGGAGGAGGAGGGGGGAGGGAGGGAGGAGGAGGGAAAAGAAGGAAAAGGAGGAAGGAGGAGGGAGGGGGAGGGAGGAGGAGGAGGAGGAGGAGGAGGAGGAGGAGGAGAGGAGGAGAGGAGGAGGAGGGAGGAGGAGGAGGAGGAGGAAGAGGAAGAGGAGGAGAGGAGGAGGAGGAGGAGGAGGGAGGAGGAGGAGAGGAGGGAGAGGAGGAGGAGGTGGGGTCGCCTAGGCCTTTCGGGGCCCTCGGGGAAACCCTCCAAGTCCGGGGTGGCCTTGCTCCGACGGTGTGGACACGCTGCGCGATGGGGGCACCAGGGCCCCCCAGAGGTCTCGGCGGCGCCCCCCGGGTCTGTCTTCCCACCCCGAGCCGCCCGCTGACGGCCTTGCAGGGGCGACTGGTGAGGGCCCCTTGGGATTAAGTCGGGCACGCCCCTCTACAGGAGGAATATTCGAAAATAGTGACAGGAGTCGGGGGACGATTTTGTGAGTATGTTCTGCTATTTGGGGTTATTGTTTGGCGATTTATGGAATATCTGTCGCCCAAAACCCGCCTGCAGGAGGACATGCCCAACCAAAGTCCGGCTTCCCATCCTGAGCCGTTCGCTGCCGGTCCTGCAAGGGCGCTTGGCGAGGGCCGCTTGTCGGAGGCCGAAGGCGCTAGAGGGACATGCCCGAGTTCAGGCTGGTTATTCCTCGCGCGGATCCTTCCTCGGTTGCTCCTCCTGGCCCTCCTCGTGCACACAGGCGCCTCTGGGGCCAAACAGGGGGCTTGGTTCCTCCTCTGGCGCCCCTTCTGGCAGCACCTCGACTGTACGCAAAAGTTCCCGGCCGTCGGACGTTCGTGGATGATAAGGAGGAGGCGGAGGAGGAGGAGGACGAGGAGGAGGAGGAGGAGGAGGAGGAGGTTTTTGCCGGTTCCGTTGTGCAGTTGATTTGCAGGTTTTGGCGCCGTTTTGTTGCCGGTTCCGTCGCCGTTGTTTTGCCAGTTCGGGCTCCGGTTCCAATTTTGAAGCCGTCTCGGGTCGCCGTTTTTTTATATACCGATTACTGTCTCCAGAGACTTTTTTTCGGAAACGGTGAAAAAACAGCCCTGCCAGTTCTAGGGCCCTACGTAAGCGTAGGACCCCGCGGTGCTCGCGAGCCCCGCCTGCAGCCTGCCCCGCACCGCAGGCGTCCGCTCCGGGCCTTCTCGGCCGCGCACCCCTCGCGCGGCACACCGCTGGCGGCGCCGCCGCCGGCGCTCCCGCGGCGTCGGCGCGGCACGACGGCGTCGGCGCCGCCAGCGCCGCAGGCGTCGTGCGGCAACCCGCGGGCGCCGTCGGCGCCGGCACTCAGAGAAGGAGGTGGTACCCATACCGCTACCCCCGCCTCGTTTTCCCCTTTTTGGGGGCCTCCTGGGCGGCTCTCGTCGCCACCGCTGGATTCGCCTCGAACTCCTGGTCAGAACGCGCCCCGGGAGAGGTCCGGGGAGGAGTACACCCAGATGATGCGATACCGAAAATTTTCGGTAGCGAGAACATACACGATGCAATTTCGGTCGTACCGGAAAGAGCCGGTATTTTCGGTCGCAGACGCACGTTCGCCTCACATAGGAATCGGTCGCGAGATTTCGCTGCGCCAGGCGGGTGAATCTCACGCGCGCGCACGCGCGTTTCCTATGCAAATTTCGGTCGCCAAATTTCGGTCGCGACCGAAACGCAACACGCACGCCGCGACAAACGTTTGACAAACGTTTGTCAAACGTTTGTTCCCCACAATCTTAGACATGAGGTAATCATGACACTATCCACGGACAAACGTTTGTCAAACGTTTGTCGGGCGGGTTGTGCCATCCGCGCCACCGCCATCATCACGATCACCAGCATCATCGTTCACAGCATCCTCGTCATCATCATCATCATCATCATCATCATCATCATCAGCATCATCATCATCTCATCATCATCATCAGAATGTTCAAGGTAACCAGCATTAATACCATCATCATCGCCATCATCATCGTCTCCGTCGTCGCCGTCGTCGTTGTCGACACCGTCATCATCATACCACTCATCATCACCATCACCGTCATTACCACAACCATCATAATCATTAACATCATCATCGGCATTATCAACACCATCATCGTCAACATCAGTATCATCATCACCAACGTCAACATGGACATAATCATCTTCATCACCATCACCTTCATCACCCCAGCATCATCATCAGTGTCACCATCACCAGTTTCATCAATATCATTTGCATCGTTATCATCATTCGCATTCTTCATCGTAGTCGGCATCGATGCCGTCATCAACGTCGTCGCCATCCCCTACCATCGTCGTCAGAATCGCGCTAACCATCATGAGCACCTTGGGGGAAATTCCTCGTCGGCCTACTACGTCTCGTCTGCCTCGTTGCTCATCCCCTCTTTCTCCTCATTCTCCCCATCCTCTCCCAGACACTGTCGTGAATGGGTACCTCCCGAGGAGTTTGTCTAGCAGATGGTCTGACTTGCCCGCACCCGGCAAAACCTGGTTGTTCCAGCGTTGAGCTTGCCCCCCTCCTATGTGTCCTCTCTCCCCCTCCGATGCTGAAGGCGATTATGGGGATGGCGACTACGGGGGTGGTGATGCCGATGCCAACTATGATGATTATATTGATGATGGTGACGATGATGATGGTGATGATGAGGTTGACGGTGCCGATGATTAGCATGATGTTGGTGATCACGTTGATGCTGCTGGTTTGGATGGTGAGGGTGGCGGGGTTGATGATGGTGGTTGATTATGCTGCTGATGATGATGCTGATGAAGATGAAGAAGATGACGACGATGATGATGATGATGATGATGATGATGATGCTGATGATGATGATGATGATGATGGTAAGGCAACGGCGAGCATGGCGAGAACTCGCCAAACAAACGTGTGACAAACGTTTGGCAAACGTTTGACACGCGTTTGGCAAGCGTGTGACAAACGTTTTTGCAAACGTTTGACAAACGTTTGACAAACGTTTGACAACTGTTTCTGCAAACGTTTGACAAACGTTTGACAAACGTTTGACAAACGTTTGACAAACGTTTTTGCAAACGTTTGACAAACGTTTGACAAACGTTTGACAACTGTTTCTGCAAACGTTTTTCAAACGTTTGACAAACGTTTGACCAACGTTTGACACGCGTTTTTGCAAACGTTTGACAAATGTTTGACAAACGTTTGGCACACGGTTTGGCAAACATTTGACAAATGTTTGGCAACCGTTTGGCACACGTTTTTGCAAACGCTTGACAAATGTTTGGCAAATGGTTGACAAACGTTTGTCGAACGTTTTGTCTGTATATCGTGTTGGTATAGTTGGGTTCCCCAGATTGTGAAAACAAACGTTTGACCTATAACAACGGGCGAAGGCGATGATTGCGCTGACATGTTTTCCACTCGCATCTGACAGTGCAGGGGCGAACAGTGCGCCTGAATGCGACATCCCGTCGCAACTCGTGGAACCTGTCGGCGAAGAGGGAACAAGGCACGCGATGTAGAACGATGCCGATGCTGATAAGATTGGTGATGACGGGGACGGGGGAAAGGAGGGCGAAGGACGGGCGAACTCCATCGCCGACAAAGGCGAATGGCACGTTGCTTGCAACCTAGTGCGCAGGGCGCACAATCTCGAAATCCGCCTTCCCCTCATGCTAGGAGGGCCAGGATCTCGTAGGCTGTTGACTGGCATAACCTCCTTCGTATTCTTCTCTCTTCATCCTCCGTGCCCATGCTCCCCGTGCCCCCCTACTGTTCGCATGCCTCCCCATCCAGTCTCGAGCAAAGCGCGCGCCCGTCCTCCTCATCACTACTCTCATGCTATAGCTCTTCCTCCTCCGTTTCCATTCTGACCCCGTTTCGTCCCAAACCACGGTCATAGCCAACGCCCCTGTGCGAAACTCACCGCCCACCAAGACCACCCAACCCCCACCCCGAAGGTCACAGTTCGCCACCCAGTTGGGGGAGGGGGGTGGGCGTCGGGGCACATTGAAAAACAACCGCATGTGGACCCTGTACCCCCCCCCCTCCAACCATATTTTTGGGTCTTCGTGTTAGGTTGGGGTTGCCTGGTAGGTCGCCAGGAACTGCCATGATGTCCTTGCGGGCCACGATGGGAAAGCAGATCGCGACAGACAAGGGGGGAGGTAGTGGAATGGGGAGTGGGCAACGACGCCAGACCATTCGAACGGTGCCCTGAAAGCCCCCCCCCCGCAACGGGCCACGAGGGGGCCACAAGGCGCGAGCGGACAGTCGGCGGAGCCAGCGGCATACCTTCCTATGCGCCACCGTTCGCAAAGTTTTCGCGACAGGCCTAGTATCGGGGATCCCATCATCGTTGTAGAAGCGATCTTTGTAATCTGGCGCATAAGATCCTCGCACATGTAGCACCAGAACCAGCGCGGGTTCATGTGTGATGCGCCCTCAGCGATGTGCCACCACATGTGGTGTTTGTTCACAATGCT